TTCAAATGATACATTAATAAGGCTTTTATTCATTATATTTTGACAAAATGTAATTTTTGTTAACATTTTAGTCAAAACACTATATTTGCCTATTTCTCCTTACACAACTTTTGGACTTAATCCTTGTTTTGATGTGATGGCTCACATACTTTAACTGTTTCAGGTACCAATGAAGACACCATCCTCATGCTTCTGACGGCTCGCTGCAACGATCAGCGTCAGCAGATAAAGGCAGCGTACAAAAAGACCTACGGAAAGGTGAGTCGAGTGGAAGAACATGGAAACATAAAAACAACTGGCTGTCACTAATGTATACATAAATATTGGACTAAATTAGCTTGTACCCTTTCTTTCTAGTTCTCAGTCTTCCTCATCATGAATCATAAATCTATTCATGCAAATAATTTAAAAGCCAGTTAAAGTGCACGTGATATCAAATTTTTTGTAATAATTAAAAACGCATTTTTTGAAATGTAATGTTGAGCGTGAGTTTAAAAAAAAATCTCACGCCCATGAGATGAACAGTTGTTGAGATATTTGCATGTGAAGAAACAGGAAGTGACATCAAAGAGGACTGTCTGCATGTGAACAGAGTGCTACAGTAGACAGGAGACTGTGATGTTTTTTTTTTTTTACATTATTTTGAGTCACAAATAAAGATGATGACTCAGAGTTCAAATTAATTTTGTTTTAATGAAAAAAAAGAAAAGAAAAACACAGTTCTCTGTCTTAAAGTTCTCCATTGATGTCACTTCCTGTTTCACGTTGACTGAGCCAAATTCAAAATAAAATCTGTCAAAGTGTGACAAAATAGGTAAAATTCTGTGTAATATGTTAAGTTTCCTAAATATAAAGATGTTTTCTTTGACTGTATTTGAAGTGTATGCACGTCACAGGTTTRAAGCAGAGGTTCTCAAACTGGGATCCCAGGACCCCCAGGGGTCCTCAAGCTGTGGTATGGGGGGTCTTCAAAAAATTACTAGAAGTTGTTGATTTTGGTTTTTCTTTAAAAAATGCAGAAATGCTTATGTGGAACAATGTACAAGTAAAACAAACATACTATAAAATATCTATCTATCTATCTATCTATCTATCTATCTATCTATCTATCTATCTATCTAT